AAACAATCAAGTGTATGATTTTTATATAGTAATAGTTGTAATAATACAGCAGGAATTATTCTCCTGCAACTGTTATTTGAACTGGTCAAGACTTTAAGAAAGATATATATTTTATCTGGACTCACAGAAGATTTAAGTTCATGAAATAAGAGTAAGTTTCAATGGAAAGTATGTTCTTTGATAAGAAGGTGTTGTAGGCTGAAATTTGGTGTAAGATGAGTTCCAAGAAACTTGTTGATTGAGGGAAAATATAATCTTCACTTGAATATTGAAAAGTTGAATTAACTTGACATTTATTGTTGTTCACCGAAGAGAGTTGAATATGAGTGAATGAATTCTGGAAAGCTGAGAATATGTTGAATAGTAACATAGCTCCAGAGGATTTTGAAGTAAATAAGTTTTTGTTGCTTGTAGTTGAATAGTTAAGAGATGTTCAATGTTCATACATATGTGTGTGCATTATAGCTTCCTCCTGTCAGGGACAGACGTAAAACTCCTCACTGAACTACATAGTTGTAGTTCTGAGAAAAACAGAAGAAAGAGTTGAAGATGTTGCTCATATTTATTTACTTTCAAGTCACGTGGTAGGCTCAAAACATGTGGACAGATTTTTGGCGGAAATATTTTTGTTCAGGTCAGAAACTAGTTCGATAAAATTTGGACGTAGTTGAAAACATGATATTCATATTAATTGACCAATGAGGAGTCAGAGAAATATCAAGGCTCTGTGATCCACTTTTTGCACAAAAATGAACTATTTATTTTCAGCTATTGAAATGATGTAGAATTAAAATTCTACACCTTCTTAATATCCTCTTATTTTATTCCTTAGAGTGTATTTTATTTCTTCCTCAGCTTTTATTTTCAAGTAAACCCTTCACACTTAGGTATTAATCTGGACAGATTATCTACATGTCCCATTTCTTTAGATGGCAAATAAATCATATCCTAGAAACATCGTAGCCCATCATTGTATGAGGTTTGCCAAATGTATGGGAATGTCTTTTTTGAGCCAAATATTTTCAAAAGTAGTTTATAATCGGTTTGTAGTACAAACTTTCAATCACGTAACATTCTGTGAAAGTTTTCCATTGCAAAAATTATTGCCAGTGCTTCTTTTTCAATTTGACTATAATTTCTTTCTGCTGATAATAAATTTCTCAACACATGAGTAACAGCAGTTTTTTTTGTTCTTTTTTTTTTTTGTTTAGTAATACAGTTCTGATACTGTATTCAGTAGTATCAGCAGCTACTATTATTTCCAATGAAGAGTCAAAATGCACTAATGCAAATTCATAAGTTAGTATTTTTTAAAATTTTTTCAAATGCCTTTCTGATGGAGTATATTATTTTTTTGCAACAATGGCAGCAATAAGGAAGAAGAAACAACTTTTAGTTTTTATTTAGTAAATACACCTAAATTTAGATATTAAAAATAAATAAAATAGTTTTAAAATGTCTATATTTGGCTGCTGGTAGTGCTGATAATTTGGCGAAACCTTTGAAGAAAATTTTAGATAGGTTTCAAATGATGTCAGCTTGTTTTAAAAAATGTCACCAAAAAGCACTGTCTTGCAGGGGGGATGGACCCCACTTACACATGGTGATCAATTTGGGCTGGTCATTAAGTATACTCCATCCTCCTTAGTGTTTTGTAAGACCTACTTGAATCCAAAGTTTTTTCACACCTATGTGAGAAATAAAGACTTTGGCGTCAGTTCTTTCATTTTGATTTTTCATATCTTTGAACAGGTAGTGGAAAGAAAGTTCAAAACATATAAAGGGTGGGTGCAGAGATAGAATGCCATAAAATCAAAAACTACTTAAAAAAATATTCTTGCTGAAACAGTTCCATTTTCATTCTCATAGTCAACTTCTTTCAGACTAAAAACTGAAAAACCAATGGAAATTTGACATCAACATAATTGTAAATGTATTTTTTTTCCTTTTTGTTAACTTTATATTAAATAAATTTAAAATGTTTTAAGAAAAAAGTGAAAAATCAATTGCTAGCATTTTTTTTTTTTACTAATCTTATATATTTAAAATTTTTTTACTACTTTTATATTTAAAATTATATTTTATTTAATGTAATGTGAAATTTTAAATTGTTTTCTTTGTAGAAGTAGATCTTTCTTTCAATTGTGCTATATAGGGACCGTTGGATTTTGTCGCCCATTTCGCTCGATATTTGCCCAAATTTTGGATAAAATTGATTGTTGGTCTTAATTGTATTTCTTGTCCTGGAATAAAATTCTAATTTACTTTTTAAAGTTTTGAGAATCTAACTTTAATTCAATGTGTTAATTGCTAGCGGCCATTGCTTTTTTGCCTTTTTTTTTTTCTTCCACCAAAAATATTTTTATGGTTTTAATATTTTACTACCCCCAAAAAACAAATTTTTTGACACAAAAAATAAACTTTGAATATTCTTTTTACACAAAAAAAACAAGTTTTAACAAAATTTTATTATTAAAAGCAAAGGTTTTGAAGAGGTTAAAACATACTAGTCAAGAATTTAAGAATAACAAAATATCACCAACTTCTTTTTGATGACAGGTAAAAATTTGGTATAAAAGTTCAATTTTACATATATTAAAAATAAATTAGAATTTTTTGTCAGGACAAAAATACTATTTCACACCAATAATTGATTTTATCCAACTTTAAGGCAAATACCAAACAAAATGGGTGAGTAAATCCAGAGGTCCCTATAGTACAACTGAACCTCTTTTATTAAATTTATATTTACAAACATCTAAACTAAATTGCAGATAAGATACATCAAATATCTCATTAAAATTGAGCTAAATATTATCATCTATACTTGTTTTTCTTTGTACAGTAAGAATATAAACTTCTCTTAAATATATTTTATTGACAGTACCACCAATATAGCAATAAATGGCCAAATCTTTAATTAGAATAAAAACGTGAAATTTCTTTGATAGTATACATAATTATATTATGCAATCATGTAAATTTGGGATGTCAATGTGGTGGCCATTTCATGCATAAAAGCTGGGGACTCATTTTAAATCATTGTTGTTTTAACTTCCCAGAAAGTTTGGCGTATTCATAAAAAAGCAAACAAGACTTCAGAATATCTGTAAGGCAATATCCACCACTAAAATAACTAAACTTTATTTGTTTATACATTAATATAAGTATGAAACTTTTAATAGAAAATATTTGATTTTCCTTGCATTCTATTCTATGCAAGATCCAAATCTTCTATTTTACTATTTATTAATAGTAAGTAAACATTTTAAAAATTAATCTTTCTTTTTTGAGGGCACAATATAGTTTCTTTTTTGTTGCCATATTTCACAACTTCAAAAAAAAAAAAAAAAAACAAACTTTCCTCAAAAGATTCTGCAAAAATTAGACAAGAAATATTTACGCACATCACTGCTCCTCAGCTATCATCTGTAAATTTATCCCTGGGTCCTGTTCAAGCTTTGCCAACAATTATATCCTTATTTCATTATCTTTGTGTGACTTCAGACTCAACACAAAAATTAAATGTTTAAACTGGTCTTCTGTAACATCTTTTAATTTACTCTTTTCACTTTCTCTGTTCAGTTCCCACATGTGGAAAAATCATCTTTTCTCTTCATGTTGAAAACTTGATATCAGATATGGAAAACAGACTTTTTTGCCAAAAACTTTCAAAACTTTTATTGTTTTAAAAATCCACATTGTTTTTTTTGGTAATATAAAATTATAGTACCTTTTGTGTCTTTTGAAAATTATAGTACCTTTCGTATTTTTTTTTTTTTTTTTAAATTATAGTACCTTTTGTTTTTTTTTTTTTTTTTTTTTTTTAAATTATAGTACTGTTCATATCCTTTTTTTTTTTTATAAATTATAGTACCTTTCGTGTCCTTTTTTTTTTTTTTAAATTATAGTACCTTTCGTGTCCTTTTGTTCCCAGCCTCCCTAGTAGTAGTCACACTTTTTTTTTTTTTTTTTTTTGGTTGGTCCATCCCACACATTCTTTTTCAAAGAAATCCTCAAAATGTCAAAAATATACCTCAAACATGAAGTTATCATCTAGGGCATAATTAAATTTGAAATGGAATCCCTTGGACTTGAAATTTTTTCTCTTTCAATTAAGAACATTTCTAAAACCGGTGTCTGGCATTTGAAAAGTAGCTATAATTCCTCAATTTTTGTAAAAGAAAGAAAAAAAAAAAAAAAAAGTTATTTTTTTCTAATTTCCACAATTTTGTCTCATTGCCACTGTTGAGTTCAGCTGCAGATTACTACTGTATTTTCTCAGACAACTGCTGAATACCCGCTTTTGCTGTCTCCCCTCAATCCATGCACTGTTCTCACATTTATATACGTGCAGGTGAGTCCATCTCGTTGCTCAGGCATAACATCTTTATATTTAATAAATCTGTTAAGAGTTATCAACAGTATTGTGAATTTTATTGAAGGAGTTCTTATTCCAGCCTGATTTCAACATGCACTTAGATGCAAAGAGACAAAAGTTACCATGGCCACAGATAGGAATCTTGTTTGTGGTACACAACATACATAGAGGGGATCATACTAGACCTCACCATCAATCCCCAATACCATCAGATTTTGGGAAACCCAAATCAACACTATCGAGACAACACAGTGGGTACCAACCGAAGAGGGAAAAGAAAGCCAGATGACCTGTAAGGTCAGTATTACTCAATACACTAATGAGAATTCTTTATTGAAAATAAAATTTCTGAAACAATAAATTCAGCGTCATTTAATTCCAATGGAATAGTAATGAAAATTAAATTCTGTGAGCAAAGTATTGTAATTACATGACATCTTGGTCAGATTTTTGCAATCTAACTTGTTCAGGTAAAAAGAAGCAAAAACCAAAAGAATTGGTCAAAATGTAATTTGTTTTTTTTTTATTGCTATAATAGTCATCATGTTTTTGTTTTTATATACAAATGAAGAGATGAACTGAGAAACAGCGATTGTTTTGTTAATGAGTACAAAAATGTTTACATAGGATAATTAAGCATCACATCTTGTTTGGCCAATTCCAGCAACATAGGATCGTCGAAGAACTTGTTGATGCTTACATCTTCACTAAGACCCTGCAGGAAAAAGAAAATGAAAAGCATATCTCAAAATCTTCAGTGTGTGAAATAAATCAAAAAATGTATTCATTTACAGTATGAAGTGAGTCAAAAATTAAGTTTTTTTTTCTTACTTTGGTGAAGTAGTCTTTGGTCAATTTCATAATTTCTATTTCTTGGTTCTTTATTTTATTTTTATCATTTGGCAGGCTTCATGATGGTGGCATTGTGATTGCAGATTTTACCAATACTTTGGTTTGTTTTACATATACACACACACACACACACACATTTAATATGTGTTGTGTAATCATTAACATGAATTAAAATTTTGAAACTTTTTAACTGTTTTACTTATCTCATAAACAAGTCTGCAATCAAACAATTGGTATTGAATAGACTGAAGCTAAGTGCATTGCAAAGATGACAGTATAAAAATGGATTAAGGCCACCAAGATGACAGGAATTGATGAATTGTACAAATAAGTTTCAAAGTCATAAAATAGGCTTAACATTTATGAGAACAGGTGAATTTGAGCTTCCGAGATATCATGGGACAATAAACAAGACTTGTTCAGCACCCAGGTCTCTTGAACACATGAAATTCTTTATCAAATCATAATTCTATCCAGAAGCTTAAGTAAACAATAATTCTAAATATTATAACAGTAATCATACAACAAGACCATCATCCAGCTTTCCACTAACCAGCCAATGACTACCCCACATTTTCATTTCTATTGCTGGGAACCAAAAACTGGAAAAAGTCCACTGCATGTTCACAGAGTAAAGGAAGATGAAAACAAATGCCACAGCAAAAAATGATAAATTGAACCACATTTCCAATAAAATAAAATAGGGGTTTTATTCAAGGCTTCACTTGCTCAGGTTAGGTATGTAGACATAGGTGACACATGGGACAATTTCTGCCATGCCAGCCTAACAGACCAACTCTTCTTCTTACCAACTCTCTGCCCATCTTACATTTCATGGTATATGGCTAGCAACATGAATAGTTGGCACTGGAACTACCTGATTGACAAGCTGTCCTCTACTAAGACCAGAACTGGCTTCCTCAATTCCAATTCTGACTGTTAATATAGACCAGCAATGAAAATCATCATTGTTTGGCTTTGTTGTCACTGAACACCAAATGTTTTTTTTTTAGTTATCTGTTCTTCCCCCCCCCCCTTTCAGTCAAGTGGGTGCTACTTAGAAGATCTGACTTCAAAGACCCCATCCAATGGCAGTAAAACACTAAACACTTGGGATAGAGATAAAATCATACCATCCTTTTCTATGTGGATGTCCCAACCATAGTGCTACAACATTTAAAAAAAAAAAAAAAAACTCATCTTTGGATTAAGTATGATTCTTGTTAATAATTTCAATTGTTTTCTGTGAAACTATTTTTTTAAACAAGGCAAATGAAAAGTATGACTGCACTTCCACCTTTCAAAGTAGAAATATAACAATTTTTGTACCTTTCGTCTTCGTGTTTTGATCATGAATTCACGAGCTAAGTGAGTGGCTGGTTGAGGCTCTAAAGGACGAATAATGATGCTTTTATCCAATGGATCACCAGGCACAATCTGAAAGACAAGCAAAAATAAAGATTTTAGGTTTTTTAAAATTTTCAAATGAATGAAAAGAATTTATCTTTCAATCAATTCACAAGTAAACATTAAATTGCCATTAGATATTTTAGGCTAATAATCATTAATGCTGAACAAAAGTCAGGATTTTTGAAAGTCATAAATGATAAATATAAAAAGTGTTAAACTATTATCACAAGATGCTCAAACTCTTGAGTTGTTGGGTTGGAATTCGAGTTTATCAGATCAATTACTAAAAACACAAACAAAATTGAATATAAAAGGTTCCAAAAATACATCACTGATGTCTTCTGGATTACTTAGATTACTGTCATCTCATGGCTGAGAGTTCAATCCTTGGATCAATTAGCAGAGATGAAAAATAACCCCCTGGGGACCCCCTTCCATCAAAATGAAATATACTATTCAAGTACCCTGGGTATTGTAGTTTCAGAATATATATGGTTATGGGGGTCTATCTCCAAAACCCTAGGATGGTGATATTATTTGTCATTGCTGCAGTAAAACGTGAGAAAGTTTTGTTAAAAACTAAGAAAGTGTTATGTGCTGAGCGACATTGAAATAAGAAGGGTTAATACCAAGAATCCATGGGAAGAATTGAGAATTCACACAAACAAATTTATATGTCAAGCAGTTTAAACAATGGAAAAGTGACCCTGACTTAAGGGCAATGTTGACTGACACACAGCTGCAAATGCAAGCTGTAAAGTGAAAACTTCATTTTCGTAAACAATTGATTCTCCTGATTGAAAGTAATTTGAGATGAGGAAGTGGGGGATAAGCAACCCATGCTCTTTGAAAATGTTTAGTGAGAGATCATGATATTAGAGATTGGGAGAAGAGAATTCCCTAAAATTATGTCAATAAATACGAATGTACAAAGCAAATTCACCAGTAGAAATTTAGTCAGAACAGAATAGACAGAGGCAGAAGAGAGGCCCACATGATTATCCGCTGAAGGAAAGGCTCTGACTTCAGCCTTGTGCCAAACTCTACCAACAAGAGCAAACCAGATTTTTGCCAGGTTGACGATAGTATCACTTCTGATTTAGATGCTGCTAATTAATTGAATGCGAACTCTATTGATACCAATTATTGTACGGAGGACTGATATAAAAACAGTATTTACTTTTGCTCAATTTATTAGTGTGTTTTTTTTTCCTGTACATCATCGCCCTGCTTGGAACAGCCTAACACAAAGATACCTGTGACAATTCGATCTTAGCTGCCTTGTGATCAAAATTAAATCACAATGTGGGATAGGGTTAGCTCTGGATTGAAGTGGCCGCTTCAGTTGGAAGTCTTGGACGACTGGCTAGAGTGTTGTATAATTAGAGGAGGAGTTTGATAACAAACAGACAGACAAAGATTACAACTTTATACATATAGATTAGGTTTTCATTCTTTAAATATATTTTTTTCAATTATTATTATTATGATGATGATTGTAAACTTTCAGAGAGTGAGTCTTTTCACCTAAAAGCTTTATAAACTTTTTCAAACTGTTTGTTACTGTCATAACAAAAAAAGACACTGCCATCTAGAAATTCCAAAGTAAACTAATACATAAAAATGTTACAGACAAAACTGTATAAATAGACTTGGCATATTATAAAGTTGTGTCTTTGAATAATGTAGTTGTATCCTTCAAACTATATTTTAGTTGAAGAAATGTTTCTATTCCAATTTCAAGAGAACCAAGACTGATAAAAGAATCTGGAAGAAAAACCTGTAATTACCTGCCAATGATGAAAGACAGATAAACAGAATGCCTGTCCTTGAGTGTGTGTACGTAAATCTGTTTCAAATCCAAATGAATCAATGGCTGGAATGAAAGCTTTGATGGTATAAAGAGGGGAGCCAGGCACTGGAGCATCTTGGGTAACATGGCCTCTGAAGATAAAGAGAAGGAAATAAATGTTAAGTCATTACAGATTCTGAATCCAATAATTATATAAGACAAAACTTCAGCTGCAAAGATTTCTCAGTGCAACTTTCTTTGCCAAAGACATTGTGCTATAGAAAAAGGATTTGTATGGTTTAGCATTTTTCTTTGAGTAATTGCTAATTTTGAAGCAGTTCTTAGCAAATCAGTCTTTATATTTTCAGGTAGTGGGCCCAAGGCACTCCATGGCTGTAAAACTGAGTTTAATAGCTTCTTTACTGACACTGTTTGGATAGGTAAGTTAGAAAAGAATTTTTTCCCCATCAGCCATAATGGTATACCAAATCTCACTTTCAGGATGGAAATCATGGATTGACAAAAGATGGCTTTTTAAGATGCTGAAAAGCCATGCTTAAGGTCTGGAGATAAATCCTGGGCTCAATAATTCAATTATTAGTAAAGTAATGCTCTTTAAAATTCCTTAAAACAATCTTAAAATACAACATCATATTTTAATAACTCCAAGCTTGCCAAAAATAAAATGCACAAGAGGTTTAATTGAGAAATACATTTTGACAAAGAATATAAACAAATAAAATAGTATTTAAGAAAAAAAAAAGTACTTTTCTAGCAATAATTATGCCCTTCCTTTTGTAAATATGTATTGTGATATGATAACAACTGGCATTGAAATATTCATCCATCAAATAATTTCTCATCAGAAAACATTTATGCTGATATATTAAGTTGTGCCTGCCATAGGATAACATACTATCTTGTCTTATTTATTGAGTTCAGTCCTGAATGGATGTCCAAACTGCAGCTTTATGACATGCTTGGTAAAAATGGATGGATCAATCAGAATTAATATTGAGTGATTAAATATCTGAGTTGGAATGCCTGGCCAAATTTGGAGAATCAAATGTCCTCATTGCATTTTCATTTTTAAAATTGATTCAAATACAAACCTCCTACGTGCAAGAACTGTGTAAACAGCAGACACACAATCGGCAGGAGCCATTACCTCCACAAAATAATAAGGTTCCATCATACGTGGAGTAGCCTGGAAGGAAAAAAAAAGAAAGCAATAGTCTCACAGTGAAAATTTTGTTAATATTTTCAAAAAGTTTTCAAATTTTTTTCATTCGTTTTGCCAATTCTCCTGTTTACTTTTATACATGTTGATTCCAAGTAGAAACTATATATATATATATATATATATATATATATATATATATATACACACACACACACACAAATTATAAATTATAAGAAAACACTATGTAAATTTTTATATATCAAGAACAATTTGAGGGAAGTCTATGACAGTGGAAAAAGTTTTATCAACAAAGTTTAAAGGATAAAACATGACACACAAAAACTTTTTACACTTTGTCATAGATTTTCTACAAATTGTTCTTGATATATAAAAATTTACACTTTGTCAGATTTCTTTAAAAACATTAAATTATATAAACATACAGAAGCAATATGCAATCAACAAACTGATAGATGTTGGGTATGAAAAAGGATAAATGTTAAGATTTATCTAAATGCGACATCTTTAGTAAAAATTTTATATAAAAATCAAAAATTAAGAAAATAATAAAAAAATAATATATAAAACAGAAAAGTATGAAGATTAAGAAATTTCCAGATATTTTACACAGGCAGCAAATTTTAGTTTTAAGATAAAAAAAAAAACTTTTTGTGAGTTTTGTTTTATTTAAAGTATCTTAATTGAAAATAATTCATGACAACTTTACATTCTTTATAACAATAGTTTTTCCTAAAAATTAACGAAAACTAAACATTTCTTTGGAATTCAAAAAGAAATGAATTTTTCTGATTATTTGATTTATGATAAATCAAAAAACACAAAGCAAAAGAGTCAAATTTTAAAATATCAGCCAAATAAAGAAAGTATATTGTTTTATTCAGAGCAGTGAATGAAACAATCATTCACAGTGAAGACAGAAAAAATAATCTTAACAAATAATCTCAGATAAAGATCAAAAATAAAAAGTAAAAATGATAAAATTGTTACAAACTGACCATGAGAAAAGCTGAATAAGCAACTCTTCTAGCAGTTGGAATAATCTGTCCACCTCCACGATGGATTGGCTCTCCAGCAATCACAGCATCAAGGATTTTGAACTTCACATTACGAATTGCTACAAAACAAATACTCTTTCAATTAAAAAAAATATTATGAAACTAATAAATAGTTTAGAAAAAGTATTTCCAAAAGGGGTATCAAAGATTTTATAATTCCACAAATTTGCCCAACATGAAAGATTTACCATTAAACCATAATAGTATGATCTTGTGTTTTTTTTTTTTTTAATCTACAATAATGTTACATTTTTTTCAAGGAAAATGATAATTTTTTCTCCAAGTGAGACTCATTTAGAAGATAAAGAGATCATTCAATAAAAAATAAAAATGAATAAAAAAGATCCACAAAACTTGTTGCAGGCAAAAGTATGGGAATGAAAAAAAAAATATCAGGAATAAAGTCATCAAAATTATTTCTCATGAAGGTTTTTGTTTTTTACTACAAGTCAATAAATTTTTTATCACCTCTATGAATTCTTTTTCTTTCTTTCTTTTTTTTTTTTCCACTGTTACTTCAGCCAATACAAACATAGAGGGTTGAGTGAAATTGTTTTAAGGAAGGAGGAATTAAGTTCATATTATGAGGACATATATCAGTTGACTGTGAACTTGAAGAGTACAAGATTGTAGTTATCAGGGAAATATTCTCTCAATGGCCACCTACCAATTTATGGAAAATATCAATCAGTTTGATTTTAGTTTTTGTGAGAAAATGCATTTCTTAAAAAAGGTTATTATGAACAATTTTTCTGAATTTAACATGTAAATGTGGTACATAAGTTTTGATTCACTTACAGGATTAATATATACAAAATTAGTCCCAACACTAAGACACACAGGCTTAGTCCTGATACTAATACACACAGGCTTAGTCAAAATATATGAAGAGGCATGGTGATTAATGGATAGTGGCTTGGATTGAGGAATCTGAGATCAGAGTTCAAATTCAAGTCGAATTCATTACTCATATGTGTTAATGCCCATGGGAAAGGTATGAATCCATCTCTTTTCTCCCAAGATATGGTAAGTAGCAGGACAGACCGTCCTATAGCCTTGGTTGGTGATTTAGTCTATGAGAAGGAAAACTGAATTTAAACTAACCTGGAAAGAGTTTGATACATTTTCATTTTTTAATGTCAATATTTTTAAAGATTGAAAACTTTATCTAATCTAAGCCCCATCATCAGGATATTAGTTTGACTGTAAACAATGTAAATGAAAAATGAGTTGCAGTTAATAAGCTTTATGGAGATTGATTTTGTGTCATTTATTCTACTATTCTAACCATGACTCAGGACATGCTAAGTGGCCGTTTGAAAATGACGAAAAGCTTACGTTCATCACAAAGGGGACCTTCACGAGTTGCCCATTGGAATCCCTGCACAATGCTATCCTTGACCGCAATCAATAAGTTTTTGTCCACCTGAAAAATAACAACAGATTGTCTCACTAAAAATATGAGGATCATTGAAGAAGAAAAAAAACTGACAAAAAGTAAAATATTTATAGACAAGATTATTCAAAAACTTGACATTTTATACAGGAAATATTTATATTGAAAGACACTAGGCAAAAACAGAACTAAAATGCAATATCTTTGATGATAACAACATAAAAATAACACAAGTTAAATCAGTTAAACTATTGTATTTGATGGCATTGATGATTCACTTTTCTCCAAAATATTAAAATTTCATTATTTCTAATAAATGTATAAAAAGAAACTGATTTTGAACTGAGCCAAATAGGCAACATGGATAAAATTCAAGTAACATTTGATATACCATCCCAATAATTTTTCTCTTAATATTTCCTACTAACGTGAGGTCCTATATGCCATGGAAGTGGTAAAATTATATAAATATGCCTGAATATTTGTGAAATGTAGCAAACTAATTAATGCCATATTAATTCTCTCAAAATTACTGTAAACAAGACAAGGAATAGCAATTAAGTAAAAAAAATTTAAATAATCATGCGGAAAAAATATTAAAAGATTAAAATAGTTTAGCCTAATAGTGTCTTTTGTAGCCTAACTGATAAGATGTTCTTACATGAAATAAGTTAATGTGAAAAAATGATTCAAGCTTGAATTTTATTGGAAACCCACCTTTGTAAAAAAAAATCATTTTACCGTAAGCAAGGCAATAAAGCTAAGATACAAGGGATTATTGAGTGTGAAATACGAGAAAAAGAAAACATTAAGGAGAGAGAAAAAGAAAAGAAAAGGGATAAAGACAGAAGATAACAATTGACATTGCATTTAAATTTTTGAAGATCAAGGTTGACTGGAAAGCAAGAAGTAAAAAAAGTTCCAAAGTGAGAAATGTGAGAGAAGAAACTGTTAGCGTAGAATTTACAGTTACATCTTGCAATTTCAGCTGTAAAATACTGAAACCTGGCTGCCAATCTAGTACCATACTTAAAAGTTGTAAAGTCAAGATATCAAAGAGGAAAGCTCATCAGAACAATTAACATGAAAATATTTATAGAAAAGGTATAATAAAGATATGTTATAGTGATGGGAAAATGACTGAAGCTGAAATACCAGGTTAGGATCAATAACATTACCAATTCTTCTTTGGATTTTATCAAGAATCTCTAAATATATATCAGAATCACCAGATCAGCTGTGACATTAATATTCAATACATGGACAAACAGTAGTCTTATAAATGTGTAATATAGATTCTGAAGAGAAACATTGTCTAGCATAAGACAGTGAACCAACTTTACTAGCTGCAGACCTAGCAATTGATTTGATATAATCTTTTCACTTTATGTTAAAAGAAAATGTTATCCCAAGAAGACAGTGAGTCACTTTCCTCAAGGTTAGGATCAGCCATGCTGAAGGAAGGCAAAAACTTTTGTTCTGAATTTTAATTTACTGGTTGAAAATAAGGGATTCATTTTTCCTCACCTCAGACGGCAATGTATCATCCACAAGAATGTTTGGACCAGTGGCATCAGGACCAAAAGCCCAAATAGATCGAGCAGCCAACAAATCCCAGTCATATTTAGTCTGGAAAAATTCTCCCAACCTTTTCCGGGGCCATGTAATCTGCACAACTTCATTCTCAATATCCTCAGCCAACCCTTTTTCTAAAGGTTCTGCAATCATTGTTATCTTGTTCCTGGAAAAATAAAGAATTGTTCATATTGACCAAAAAGAGTATTATAAATATCACTCTTTGCAAATTAACTTTACAAAAATAAAACAGCTACCACATCTTGGAAAGAATATTTTAAGCAAATTTTCAGTTATTTTAATTTGTATAGAATGATAACGACCAAGTAATAAATGGTTAAAATAATGATTCAGTTCACAGATAATTATACAATATGAATTATTATAAATATATTTGAAAGATGGCAGTAGATTTTTCAGTATGATTATTTTGTAAAAACATTTAAAAAAAAATTACTTTAATACTTATTTTTAGAAAAAAACACAAAGGAAAAATGGTATTATTAAAATATCTGAATTCTGCAGAAGAAAAAAAAAAAGAAGTTAAAATCAGTCAGTAGCTGGTCATATATGATGTTTATGAGAAAAATCAGAAGAGATGAATGGAAATTGATATAAAAAAAAGTTTCCTCAAATATAAAAGTGAGAAACGTTTTTGTTTTTTTCTTCATCAGAACCATGTTCCATGATGCCTTAATAGTCTTTTTATTTATTTTTAAGACGACTCATTCAAACTGCCAGGCAAGATAAATGAGACAGACACACGCATATAAACACAGTGTCCAACGTCAAACTAATTTAACAGCACATACACAGAACTCTGAAAAGAAAAGAAAAAAATCCCCTCCTCCATCAATCCTAAGTTTTCTTTTCACTAAATTATCAATCTGAAAAGGTTATTCACTCCTTGAGATTTATCCAGACTGGAAATTTTACCTTCCCACATGTTAATGATACAAAAAACGCAGAATTAAATATCCTCCGCTTACTTTTTGTTTGGGGTTTCAGCAAAACACTTCAAGGATGAGGTCTCTACAACTGTCTCACAGAAAGACACAACTGGGTCAGCAACCTTAATATCTAAAATTACAACAAATCAACCAATAATAAAACAATTTAATAAAATAATGAGAAATTCAAAATGTTATATAATGTGTTAAATAATGAAACAAAGGAAAAAAAATAATTACGTCAATTTGAAAATATAAAGGATGAAAGTAACTTTAATTGTCGATAATCAATATTCAAGTAACAAAGTCATTGTTTAATATAAAGAGGTTTGTCAGTGAATTTTTTTTTTACATTATCTTGTCAATTGTAGTAGAAAAAAAAACATAACACTACTTGTTCTTAACAGTCTTCATTTTCTTTGGATGTAGAACAGAAAAATAGAAAACAAATAAAGAAAAAGACTTTTGCAGTACAAAATTTGTGTAGATAGCATAGAAAACATACATATTTAAAACCAGAGAAAAGTAGGGACTGTCATTTGATACAAAATAAAATAAAAATAAAAAACATGGGAGTTAACCAATTTATTTTAATTCATCCAGGGGCATTCAACTTGTTGCTCACACTGCAACACAATGTTTACATGTGGCCCACTGCACCCTAAAATATTTAGGTATATTTTCATTTACTTGTATGTCAAGAAAATTTTTCTCAGATTGTGCTATTAGGTTGTTGTAGCATACCTACAGACAATAATGGGTATGCCACCATTCCCATAAATACAGTATGTATTAGTTTGCAGCCTGCAGTTGGAGATTCATTGTGGAATTCACTTAACTCACTTCTAGCAGTTGACTACGACTTCTACACGCCACTGGCGAATCTTATATGTGTTGTCCTTGTCCTAAGTATTATTGTTCATTACCAACTTTTGTGTGATTATTCTATTCAGTAACCTTCCCTAGGTTACAACATAGGTTCACTTCCCCACTATGGTTCACATGAGTCAATGGTTGGTAAGAAAATTAAATATGGGAAATAGAAAGAAGTATATTTCGTATGTCCGATGTACAGAAGATAAATAATTACTTACCAATTTCTGAATACATTTTCCTGAGATCATGCATGACACAATCAAGGTAGAGCTCTCCTGTTCCAAGAATTATGTGCTCACCAGATTCTTCAACCTTTAAAGAATAAAGAAAAATAGGTAAAGAAAGTCATTTGAGATGCATTACCATTTGAAAAAATGGAACTGGAATATTAAGTTAAAAACGTTTATATAGTCAATCTTTGTGATTGAAGACAATTTATACATTTCGTCCAAGCTAGAATCAATGCATGAGTAATCACAATGGTACAATATATAGGTTATTTGCAATTGACCATGAATGATATTTGAGGTCCCAGATGTCATCAAAGTACAGCATATCATTTCTCCATACATGAAACAATTCAGTAAAAACTTAAGAAAAAAAAAATTGTTTTTGCTAAAGTAGGATCAAAAAGATTAATATAGTCAAATGATAAAATCTGTTCAGAAATAACAAATTTTTTATATACAAAGTTATGATATGAACAAACAACTCCCACTCAACATTATACATCAAGATTTTCTATTTCAGGAGATATGTTTTTCTGTAAAATGGTTCATAATTCATCGACTGAAGGAATATCCAAATTGTAGCTTTTATGGATAGGACTCTGAAACCAAATCCTGAAGGTGGGAGGAGTTAGAGGGGTCAATTGGGTGACAAATAGAATTATAAATTTTCTGAAGATTTTTTTTTTTTTCAATTTTTCTTTCACCTCTGTTTAATTATAATGCCATCATCATTATAGCTGTTTTATTTTTATTTTTTTTTTTTTGTTGAGGCAGAACTGAAATTAATCTCTCACAAAGCAAAATGAGTCCTGCCTGACAGTGGATCTCAGTTTACCTCTCCACACAACACCTAAATCATGCAATATTACAAAATATCATGTAAGGATTTTAAAAAAACAATCAGTTGTAAACAAACTTTTTTTGAAATAACACTGTACAGCATATTAAACCAGATATACCACTTATATTTCCTAGGTTTCTATGATTGACCAACAAAATATTACTGAATATTAAATTGTTACCTAAAAATTATTATGTCATCAATGACAACATTGAAGTAGAGACAAGTAAAAATTATTAACGCTTACCTTAGTGTTAAGAAGTGGATAACTTTTGTTCACTTTCCGAAGCCCATCTAACATTTTGGGAAGTTCCGAGGGATTCACAGGCTCAACAGCAATCTTGATTACAGAACTAGTGTTAAACTTAATCGGGCGGAAGATGTAAATCTGATAATTAGAAAGAGGAAGAAACAGTGACTCAAAATGGGGCTTTCCAAATAGCTTGGTTTTTTAGCTATGTTCACCCTTAAACTGAAATTCATTAAATATTACAAGTGAGAAGGTGGCAAGAATTGTATACACAAAAACTTATCAATTGAAAAAAAAAAAAAAAAAAAAAAAAATGGAGATGCAAGTATGAATAATTCATGGAATAATGAAATAACTTTCAAGCTGTCAAATTCAAATTTTACTAGTTTGAAAATAGTCTATTTAATGCCTAATTATAGCTTTATGCTTGTGACAAAAGAAAAAAAACTCTCACCTCTTCTGGACCTGATACTTCAGTAATGGTAGATGTCTTCACAATGGACTGATCAATACCTTCTATCAGAATCCAATTACCTGCAGGAACTCTATTCACTTCAATCTTATACCTAAAAAAGAAGTCAATATTGGGAGAGATATAAACAAAAAAGATGTATACATTGAATATGCCATAATCTAACATCAGATCAAACAGTTCAGAATTTAAAAAAAAATGTTAATGAAGATATTATTCAAGTAAGGTTTATTCGATTTAAACTTAAAAAAATGAAACCGATTAGACATGTCAGAAAAGAAATTTGATGTACTCAGTAAGTATTAACCTTTAACATTCTGGAGGTGATTTTGTTTGCAAAGCAAAAATTTTATTCTGCCACTGCAAGTGACTCAGATGAATGAATGATGGCATATTTGAATTTTGCAGTTGTGTTGTCATATATTGCTATGGCAACAGAAAATGACCATGATTAAAATTAAGTAGTAAAGTAGAGGAGCCTTGAAAAACAATGCAGCAAAAAGGAAAGTAGTGAATAATGCAGTACATTAAAGGTTAAACATAAACTCAAACCTTTTGGCCCAGTAGTGGTAATAGTTGATAGGGAGTGCTATATCAAGTCCTATATGGTAAATGTGGAAAGGCAGGCTACTTTATGATGTTCGTATCAACAGGTTATAAGAGACCAGCAACAGAGAAAAATCATCAATTGTTTAGAAATTATATATGGGATCAGAAGAAATGACATTATCTTTGACCTCTATAAAGGTCAGGGTCATAATTACAGTCATATTAAGGTCAGGTCATATTTACAGTCATATTAAGGTCAGGGTCAAATTTATGGTCATATTAAGGTCAGGGTCAAATTTATGGAATGAAAAAATGCCTTCAAACCAATTTTTTTTTTTTTTTAAATTCCCATTATTGCCATATCTTGTAATTTAAAAAGAATTAATATCCCAAATATACAGGATGTGATATATATATGACCCCCACTTAGTAGATTTAAAAAAAAAAAAAAAAAAAAGATCAATTTACAAAATTCTTTGGAAATTGAGAAAATGTACTGGATTTTTGCAAGTGATTTCTCCAATTGAATTATCTGTGGTAAAATATTAATTTCTCGATAATGCATCATTTTCTTTCCGATAAAAGAGTGTCAGAAACTCATTTAAAATTCTCATGACATGAATGCACAAATTGTTAGCCTTGTTTTAACTTTGTATTGTTCTAAAAATCTGTTTTGAGTAGCCAATTTGCTTCATCAAAAATTACAGCTTACTTAATTTTGAAAAAACCCATAAATTTTAGTATTGTTTCCAATATATTCACTTAAAACAAAAGAAATACATGTATTTATCCAAATAATAGTCATATTCTGCATGTTAATCACATTTGTCAATCTCTTCTTTCCTGATTTTCAATGCCCAACAGACATTGTTTATTAAAAGGAGTCAACCATAGTCAGGCTCCTAGAGTCAATGCAAATAATCCATTCCTTAGCTGCAGAGTATGTGCTTTGCCAGGGTTACATACAGTTTTGACGTTAGAGTTTTTTTTCCTTCTCCTAAACTGGTTGCCACCTTAGCTATGAAACCTAGTCTGTTATATTATTTACCTATAGCATGGAGAAGGTTGAGTATTAAAACTTACTAAAAAAAAAAAATCCAGTGCTTAAAAAATATTTTTCTGATTTCAACTTAAGCTTACAGCACCTGGAATTACCAAGCAGTCAGCCATCTAGGAATAATAATAATAATAAAAAAAATCAATTACTTCTTTAGAAATGTGTGTGTGTGTGTGTGTGTGGATACACGTTGCATTTTATAGATGTGCACAAGAGTTTTTATCCACTCACTGCCTTTGTGCAGATGCCATGAATTTCAACAAGAAGTTTACCTGGCTTCTGCAATCCAAAGACGTCCAACCATTCCAAAGCGAGAATCTTCCTCATCTTGCAGGGAATAATTTTCTCCAAGGATCCTGACCTCTTGGTTTGCATGCAGGGTGCCACTCATAATACGACCCAACACATGGAAACTTGTAGCATCTGGAGTTGGGTATAACTTGGTGGTATGAATCATCAAAGGACCCTGCAATGAAGAGGAAAAAAAGAAAATATTGATTTGGTAAAGGAACTATCTTAAGTACATCTGCTTTAAGACATTCTTGAAATGAGGAATTATATGTCAGTTTAAGCTTAAAAAAAAAAACAAGAAAAAAGCATTAGGGTGAGTCATAAGTAATTTCCGTTTTTGTGAACCAATTGTAATAATGAATATATCATCCTAACTACTAATCATACATAGTAGTTAAGAATAAATTTGCAGCACACTAACATACCTTAGATTTTGCACAGTGGATTAAAGGAAAGCTGTTCCCCTATATGACAATGCAAGGCCACATACAGTAAGAATAACAGAGGAAAAAAATTTTGGAATTGGGTTGGTTTTATTCTACCCCCACCTGCCATATTCACTTGACTTTGAAACATTTTTGATCACTGCAAAATGCTTCAACGGGGAAAACTTTCTCTAAGAAAAATCAGATTCAAAAGTTTAAAAACTTTTTCACATCAAAACCGGCACCAAAGAAAAGTATCAAAGAGCTGCCTGATAAGTGGCAACAAGTTATTGCAAATAATGGTGGATATATAATTGAATAAAATGTAATTGTATTTCATTTTTTGAAGAATAAAATTGAAGAATGCAAAAGGGAAATTATGACTCATGATTCAAATTAATAAAATCCATAAATAATGAAAAAAAAAACTTACATCAGCATCACATTGGACCATTGCTTCAGCCAATTCTGTTTCCATAGAGCCTGTGTAGACATGTTCAACCTTAGTGTGGGCATTGGCCGCTGGAGAAGGAACATGCTCCACACACATGTCTACAAAACCTGAAAAAAGGGAACATAAAAATTCAATATCTAAGTGGGAATAAGAAATTTATCTTTTTATTAATGAAGAAAGAAATGTGGAGAAATGGTGGATATTTTTAGTAAAAAAATAAATTTTAGAATTTTTTTTTTTTTTTATTTCTACACATCACCATCTATATGGGCCATATAGGATATGAAGAACTGCTGAAAAGTCATTGATTCAGTTCACTTCCTTAATATGACTAAATAACCAAACATGTTTTTGGAAGGGCTTTTCAGAGTCATACATCCATAAAGTTAATGTAGCAATAACTAAATTCCTCCTTAAAAAAAAAAAAAAAAAAAAAAAAATCTGTACACTTGACAGAAGTTTCAATAAAACAGTTTGTTACTTTTGTGCTTACACAATTATCTTCAATTATGAATTTTAGATCCCCATAAAAAAAATGAAGCACAGAACTGACCAGTAAATGCCCCAAAAAATCGCTTCATGACCAGTCGCAGTAAAGGTCGTACATTAATCTTTTTCTCTTCTTTTGTAAGGCTGATTCCCAATTCATCACAGACACGAGGTAGATTCTCATCCACATCACCAACAATCTGGAGGGGGAAAAAAAATAAAAGACAAATTCCAAAGACTAACAAAACCTCTCAAAATAAAAAAATTGCAAAATATTTTTAAGGTTAAAACCTTAAAAACATGTTTCAGGTAAATAATCAATATTTAACAAACTAGAAAATTAAATTAATTTTGATGATATTGCCATGTTTATTCAGGTCAGCAATAAAAGATTAGAAAAAATTAATTTTATTTGGACCATTTCAATACTAATCAAAATAAAATCAACTTCATTTTTTTTCTTTAACCAAATACTGATTAACACAAGTTTGGAGTTAATTTCATCCTTTCCATTTCAAAATTCTAATGAACACTTTTCCCAACAGATATTCAGAGAGATTAAAATAGCAGTTTATTCTTTTAATACAGATATTTTTAATATCTTTGAAAAATTCCTATCATTAGAAAACTTACCTGGGCAAATATTTTATACATTGGTTCTAGAATAAATTCCACAAAACTCCTCTGTGAAGTACTGTGGGGTGGTTTCTTAGTAAAACGACGCCTGCAAAATAGATCACAAGATGAATTTCATAAAAGTTAAGAAAACATACAATCAAA